GAAGTAGAACCTACCGGTGGCCGTGGCATCTTCCTCCAGTGTCCCTGTGGAGATGTTAGGTAGCTGAAGGGGAGTTAAAGACAGACATCTGCAGTTCAAGGGAGACGTCTCAGCCACAGATAAACATTTGAGATCCATCGGGCAGTAGATGGTTTCTGAAGGCACAGAACCCGATGACAGCCACTATGGGTGGGAGTGAAGGTAAGGACAGAGCCAAAGTCAACTCGGGTCCCTCAGGCCAACTATCATTCAGAGATGGCGGAGGAGGAGGGGAAAGTGAAGGAGCTTGACAGGGAGCTGTGGGCGAGTAGGAGGAAACCCAGGGAGGGTAGCATCAGGAAAGTCTGAAAAACAAAGTTTTTCAAGGAGGAAGCGACCAAGTGTGTCAAATGTCACCAACGGACTGAGTACAAGAGGTTAGAGAACTGACTTTTGACTTCGGCAAAATGTAGGTCAGTGGTGGCGTGGACAAGAGTCACTGCTGGTCAATGACGGGGACAAAGCGCTGGCTGGAGCGCGACGGGGCGGGATGCGGTGGGGGAGGGGCATGGAACAGCGGGCGCGGGAATGAGGGTACCATGCATGGCAGGGCTTCAATAAGACGGGCGATGAGGCTTACTTACACCCAGAGGATAACGACAAAGGTCCACTCGGGAGGGAGAAATGGCTGATGAAGCATCACTCGGGGAATGAGGTACTGAGAGGGCACGAGGGGTGGAGCCTAGCAGCGGGACGTTCCCGAGGTTAGGGGGTGGGCGGTGTCGGGCGGCTCTGCCGTGACTGTATCCATTTCTGTCTCTGAAGTCCGTGGCACCATCACCAGCTGGAATTGAGGCCGGGAGTGTGGAAGATGCAGAGAGTAGAACGCCGGCATCAGCCATCTCAAGAAAGGATGGGAAGCTTCTAGGGGGGTGTTGGAGGAGTTGAGGGCCCGCTTGGGATCTACAGTTTGGATTTTAAAGTGAGCCCAAGCGCCCAGGTGTACTGGTTCTTAAGCAAAACCCGGACCCAACCAGAGTCTGGGGTTTTGCCAGGAGAGTATCATGGATGGAGGTGGGTGGGGGGAGAGGCAAGATGGGGGGAGAGGCAGGGCGGTGATGATCAGGCTGGATCAAGGTCTCCAGGCTGGGTGAAGAGGCGAACGACGCGTGGCGCCATAAGGGGCGAATGGCCCTGCATGGGGGGCTAAGGCTCAGCGGGCTCAGGGTCTCAGAGAACAGCTGCCCTGGGGCTAAGGCAGTGTCTGAGCTGGAAGACTAGGAGGTGACTTTTGGGGCTGGAGGTTTGAGGGATGACACGCTGGAGTGGGAGGCTGATGTTGCGGGGCGGCGGGGGTGTGGAAGTGAGGCTGTTGCAGTCAAGGGCGATCCGTGAATTCTTTGACCTCCTTAGCCCTCCCCACGTGGGAGTCCGAGAGCTACATCCTACCAGAGCTGGGAGCGATGAACCTCTCCACTGTACAGAGAAACTGAGACCCAGGGATGCTGGTGACGGAAATTTCCAGATTGGAATCCAGAGTTCTAAATCTCAGCCCCAGGGTGGGGGAGATTCTTTTTTGTGTCATCCCTCCCCCATCCCCCGCTTGCCCTCTGCTGCACAGCTTTCCCCTGCGCCCCCCATCCTCTAGGGAAAGTCTCCTGCACACACAGCCACAAGGAGTGCCTTCCTGGTTTTGACCATGTCACACGTGTCCTTACAAACATTCGGTGGCAGATCTGCACCCTCGTTCACCCTCCCAGTTATTTTCTTTCATTCATTCATTCATTCATTCATTCAGTGATTCCATCTTTCATCGTTCTTTCACTAGCTTCCATCTGTTAAACCAGGTGCAAAGGATGAGGTTCTCAGCCACTGGGAAATTGTCATCCATCTACCCGACCAACCCGCCAGACTCCAGACGTGGACGGCCCGCCTGCCAGTCCCAGAGCTGCCTCAGCTAACATGTGGGGATCACATGTCCTCAAACGCCTGGCAGGTGTCCAGGCTTTCCCCTGCCCACTGCTCATCTCATCCCTGACTGCCTATGTCGTATGTGTGCCAAATGTCGGAGCCCTTCCAGCCTCTCCCCCATAGCCGGCCTCATTATATATGAGCTGCTGTCGACCAAAGTCCACAAGGTCAGTCTTCATAAACTTCTAAAGCTACCTATAGCTCCATTAAAGAAGTCTTTTTTTTTTTTTAATCCAAGGAAGCAATTCTTGCTCCTTGTAAAAAATATGACAAAGTGGGGTGCCTGGGTGGCTCAGTGGGTTAAAGCCTCTGCCTTCAGCTCAGGTCGTGATCTCAGGGTCCTGGGATCGAGCCCTGCATCGGGCTCTCTGCTCAGCAGGGAGCCTGCTTCCTCCTGTCTCTCTGCCTGCCTCTCTGCCTACTTGTGATCTCTGTCAAATAAATAAATAAATAAATAAAAATCTTAAAACAAAAACGACAAAGTACACGAGGTTAAAAAAAAAAAAACCCCACGGTGCCAACCACTGTTACAAGTGGGGCAGTAGGTGTGGTTTCGTTTGTATCTTTCTAAATCTTTTCTAAACATTCGTAAAGGAAAGCACCATATATATATGTAAACATGCACGATCAAGTATGTATTTACAAATTGAGATCACAGACTATTCTTCTGCAACTTGCCTTTTGCCCGTGACAATAAATGATGAGCGCTGTGACAGGCTGGTGCTGCAGATCTCCTTTGTCCTTTTTAATTTTTATTACTTATTTATTTATTATTTTTCATTTGACAGAGATGAGGGGGTGGGAAGCAGGCTCCCTGCTGAGCAGAGAGCCCGACACGGGGCTCCATCCCAGGACCCTGGGACCATGACCAGAGCCGAAGGCAGAGGCTTTAAACCACTGAGACACCCAGGTACCCCTCCACTTTGCCTTTTTAAAAGCTGCATTGCACTCACACCGTGGATGGACCTGGCGTGTGTAATTGGTTCCTATCGATGGCCGCGTAACTGGATTTACGCCCCCAGCTACAACGCTGCACTGGACATCTTCCTGGGTTTCTCTGAGCTTCTCTGAAGGCTCCTTCTTAGAACTGGAACTGCTGGGCCACGTGCATTTTCAATTTTAACGGATACCCAGTGCCAGGCATAGCGCCCGACACATAGTAGGAGCTTTGTAAAGATTCATGGTGGGAAAGGATGCTGCTGCTATGTCACGCTTCAGAGTTACACTCTTTCCCTCCCCGCAGCCATAAGCAGAGACACCTAGAACTGGCCGTTGTCTGCCACCAGGTCCCAGCAAGGCTGGGTTTCACGGTGACCAGACTTGCCCTCAGGCCGCTCTGGGGCTGCTAGGGAGGACTGAAGGGTCTCGTGCCGTCTTTGAGGAAAGGCTGAAGAGGTCCTCCTCCTTAAGGTCTGCAAAGCCCATTGCTTAACGTCTCCCCCGCCCGAGGTGGGTGTTTACCCAGTGAGGGCAGCATCAGCCCTGGGGCTTCTCCACCTGGGGCTAGACACACTTGCATGAAGCAGCAAAGACATCTTCCTTCTCCCCCACCCCGGATCTGTCCCGGAAACTCAAGGGAAACTTCTCGTGACTGCGCTCATTCTGATTGCTAACTCTGACACGGTATTGTCCCTAGCTACTGTTCCCCCTCAGGAGCTCTGTCCCCAGCCCCAGCCAGGCACCCCTGTCCCTAACATCTCCGGGGCTGGCTGTGCCTTTCCCTCTCCCCTGCCCTGCCGCCTGCCTGGGTCATGACATCCTAAGTCTGGGTATTGTTGAGAACACTGGAGGCTGCATCCCCACCTGCAAACCACTGCCAGTCCTCCCTCCGATCCTCCCAGGAGCTGTGGCCAGTGTCTGGGGAGGAAAGCCAGCAGCATTCGTGGGCTGCAGGGGAGCAGGGCAAAGATAGGGTCATGGCAGAGGTAGCATCCTTGCCTGAGCCCTGGGACACCAGCATGGAGGGGGTCTCTTTCTCTCTGCGTCCCCCATGCTAGTCCCCCAGCTCCACGCTCTGCTGCAGGCTCCATGGGGACTCACGCCCCGTGAAGACTCTCTCCCGTGATGCAACGACGAATGCTTCTTTCCTCTTAGGGGTTAACCCCACAGATGAGCTCAGGTGGGAGTGCCCGGAACCACACATGGGGCTGGAAGAGGGAGAATCTGCCCTTTCCTCTCCTCCCTCCAGGAGCTTCCAGGGTGGGCAGGTCAAGGTCTCCAGAGTCCCTGCCCCACAGATGGCTAGCCTCTCCCACATCCCTCTCCTTTGCCCCCTCCCTATACCCGTGGTGAGAAAGGCAGGAGCTGAGCGCCACATCCCCTGGGCAGAGCAGTGGGAGACGGGATGGGGAAGAAAAGAACAGTCACTCCCGCATCACCCCCAGTTCCCGGTCCAGGCTCTTTAGCATCAAGCCCTGGGTCTGGGTCAAAACATCTGCAAAGATCTCTCCCAGAGGGTGGTTCACAGATGGACTGTCTGCCCAGGCTCATCACCGACAAATCAATGGTGGGATGTGGGGTTCAGTGGCCTGCCCACACCCCAGCCCCTCAGCGGCACATGGGCTCACTCCCCAGTTACCTCCCCACACAGCCAGAGGCGGACTCTCAGTGACAGTTAAAATTTAGTGAGTACACAGATTGGGGGGGCACAATGGGGTCTTCTCTAGAACCGATGCAGTCAAGTCTCCCAGGAACAGGAGTGCCCTCTAGAAGATCTCGGAGCTGGCTGTCCAGTCGAAGGTGTGTGTATCCCCCAGAAACAGGGTTTTCTCCATACCTCAGCATAGCGCATCCTACTGTCAGGTACCTGACATGCTCCTCCTGCCAGCCTCTGACATGGGATGGGGGGCGGGGTGGATGCTGACCCTCCAGACCAGCGTTCCTGACCAGAGAGGCAGCGGAGGTGGAACCGGGATAGGAAAAGCAATAAGTTAAAACCAGAACAGCCAGAGACATGGCAGGACAGGTGGGGACATCACAGGGGTCCCACGAGTCTCTGGCTTAACCAAGGAGGCGTGGACACTGAAGCTGCAGGCAGACGGCTGGGGGGCTCAGAAGGCTGGGTTGTCGATGCCCCTGGGCACCCTGGCATATTCTTCGGGACAGAAGCTGTAGGGAGGGGGCGGCTCCATGGGGGGCAGGACAGGTTTCAGAATAATCTGCAAGCGAAAGAGGGGACAGAGTCTTCTCAGGGCCTGGCACCAGCCATCACCACCCAAGTGTTGGCTGTGCATCCCTCCCAGGGAGAAGGGCTACCCAATGGTGGCTGCAAAGCCCCCTCGAGGTCTGGGGGCCTGGTGGTGGAAGGACGACCTTGCTATCCCGTTGCTCTAAGAATCTGGACAATAGGGAGGTCAGGCCGGCTGAGGAACGGAGCAAGGAGTGGGACAGAGACACCCACCTCGCTGTAGGGGGGCGGGGGGTCAAAGGTAGACGTCCTGACCCTCTCTGGGGGGGCAATGGAGGGCGGCTCCGGGGGCCCCTGGTGATCCACTGGGGGGTCCCGCTCTGGTTCTCCACAGCTGCGACAGAACCGCTTAGCCAGGCAGCAGATGCACAAAAGGGGAAAGATGATGAGGAAGGTGATGACGAAGATCCTGGGGTGAGGAACCACCGACATCTCCCTGAGTCCCTGGGCTGTCCCCACAGCCCCTCCCAGCCCGACCTAGACCGCCCCTTGGGCAGGAAGTCCCGGCGCCCCCGCCATGGGTGTGCCAGTCGAGCTGGCCCTGGGCTCACCTCAGGGGGCCAGAGAAGAGCTCATATTCTTGGCAGCAACTGTCCCCACAGCACTTGAATCCTTTGGGGCAGGTGCTGGGGGATTGGGGGAGGGGGGCGAAGAGAGACTGTTGGTACCAATGTGGCAGGAAGATCCCAGACTCCCCAAAACACACCCATGTCCTCTGAGCACAAGCCACGCCCCAGCAGGGTGGGGAGTAGAGGATCTGCTGGGGCCCTGGGGAAGAATCTGGGGCCGGGACTCAGGAGCCGGATTCTAGGCTCACTACTTGTGCCAAGTCACACTCCCTTCTGGGTCTCAGTCTCCTCCTCTATGAAATGGGTGTAATCAATGTCCTATAGACTTCAGCAGGCGGGGGGGGGGGGGGGGGGGGGGGGGGGGGGGGGGCCCCCGGGGGGGGGCGGGGGGGGGGGGGGGGGGGGGGGGGGGGGGGGGGGGGGGGGGGGGGGGGGGGCCGGAGTGTTGTGGCGACCCCTGTGTGGTGCCCATGGACTAAGAGGTGGGAAGGAAAGTGTGTTCCTGGAACATCCAGGCTGACTTTTTTCTTTTTTTTTTTTTTTAAGATTTTATTTGACAGAGAAAGATGACAAGTAGGTAGAGAGGCAGGCAGAGGGGGTGGAGGAAGCAGGCTCCCTGCTGATTCAGGGCTCTATCCCATGACCCTGAGATCAAGACCTGAGCCAAAGGCAGAGGCTTAACCCGTTGAACCACCCAGGCGCCCCTCCAGGGCTGACTTGATGGAAACATTCATCCGCTCAGGGACCAGCCCATTGCTCACCAGCAATGAGCCCATTGCTTGCAGGCCTTCTGGTATTTACGTTTTAAGGCAGGCACAGGCGGTTTGCCGGCCCCACTCCCCGGGGGTGGCGTGGGTACCCTCCGAGAAGAGACAGCCTGAGACCCAGAGAGGGTGGAAAGAGGGGCGGGGATTAGACTTCAGACACGCCCATAAGTGCGACTCCGCCCCGCTTGGCTGGAGGAAGAGGGCGGGGAGTGGGGGGAACCGGGAAACCCTCTTCCGCAAAAAAGGCAGTGGGTGAACATGACAAATGAGGTGACTTTCTGCCCCCCCCATGAAGGCAAGTAGAGAAGGACTCGGGGTGTCTCCACCCCAGACTGGAAGTTATAGCTCAAACCCCAAACTTACAAGAAGAGTCCACATTTAGCAGCAGCCTGTGGAAGAAAAGAGGCAGAGGTTGGGGCGTCATAAACCGGGGAGCGGCATCTCTACCCACCTGCTGCCCGGTACCTGAGAGCCTGCAGCAGGTTCCCAGTAGATCAGCACCCTTCCCCGAGCCTGCTCTGCACCTCACCCAGATCTGTGACCCGAGCCCCACCTAACACCAGGCACCCCCAGCTCTTTCTCTCGGCACCACACCCACTCACCCCCAGGTCTGTAAGCTCAAGCCTCTTACCTCCCCTCCAGTCCATCTCCTTTCCATGCCTCATCTACAATCAGGGGCACCAGCAACTCTTCTCATCCAATCACTCCCCATACCGCAGGCAAGTTTTTACCCAGCCAATCTCATCACCCAAAACCTTGCTGGAGGCCCCCCTTCAGTGGCTCCCTGGTGCCTGGACCCCCAGCAAGCAGCCTCTCCTCTTTGCCCTCTTGCACACACACCCACTGGGAGTTCCCTGAACACTCCTGGCTGTTTTACACCTGCGTGCAAGGGAAGGCTCTCTTCCTCCTGCCTTCCTCCTTCATGGTCTACCAAACCCCTATTCATCTTTCGGATCTCTGCCTGGCGGGTGGGGTGGGGTGGGGATCCCTGCTCTTTGAAGCCACCCAGACCCTCCTCTCCGGGCCCAGCTCCCTCCCTTCCTCTTCTACACCAGTTCTGTGGGGGTATCTAGGGTATGGGACCAGAATTTAACCATAGGAGTAGCAATGATGTGTAAAACCCTTGCCTGAAACAGTCTTACCCCAGGTATCTGCAAAGCTGGCTCCTGCCCCCCACCATCTTACTGAAAACTCCATCTCCTCCCCGCCAGCACCCCCACCACGTTCTTCTGCAGCGCTCCTATCCATATCTAGCATACTGTAAGTTTCCCCTTGTCTTGCGCATTGGGTGTCTCATCAGAAGAATATACACTCCAGGAAGGTAGGCATTTTGGCCTGTCCTCACTGATGAAAAACCCATCCGCCGCAACACCCGCAGAATGAATGGAAGGGCCTTCACTGATGGCCGGGTTTCACTTCCTCCCGGCGGAGCGGGGTAGTGCATGGGTGGGAACACAGGAGGGAATGGGAGGTTATCTGTCACTCCACCCCAGCCTCGGGGGACAAACAACCACAGTAAGAAACAGACCTCGACCTTGGCAACAAGACTATCAAGTCTTCATACGTTGACTTGAAATAACTCAATCACCTTTCAAATACTAATGACAGTAAAGCCAAGAAAACCAATTGACAGCCAGTAAGGGGTGGGCTGATTCCCTATTCTGGGCTCAGATCCTTCCGGAAGCCTCCCTCCCATAAGCCTTGGCCCCGGGGGACTAGAGCAGGAATCAACCCCCAAAGGCTGGCCCAGAGAGGTCTGGAGCTTCACATCACACAGAGGCACCTGCAGAGCTGGGGACAGACCAAGGGGTCCAGGCACTTGGGGGGTACCCTCTTCCCTCTCCGGATTCCAGACCCTGTCTCTCCCCACTCTCCAGGCCCCAACTAAGAAGGACAGAAAACGAACAGGTTTAATAAATTAATCTTGAGTTGGTGTTTGGGAGGGTAGATCTCCCAAATTCTCTACCTCCACTTTAAACTAGGGTGATCTTGTCTGAAGTGGCTCAGTTTTGAGTTTCACCGAGCATCAGCATGGTCCTGGGAGCCTCAGCTTCCAGACACCTGCAATGGGGATCCTGTCAGCCCCTGCCACCTGAAGTTGCTGGGAGGAATCGAGAGGATGCTCAGCCCAGGGCAGGAGCCCACGGCTTGCCTGGCGGCTGAGGAGGAGGAGCGCCAGGGCTTGGGGGCAGAGCCCCGTGAGGCAACACGGTTGTGTGACTGTGCCCTGTTCTGGGGAGGGAGCCCGGGATGTCGCTGGCATTCTTTAACAGAAGTGAAAAATTCCCGTTCTAGGCCCCTGTCAGTTGCCAAGATGACCTCCCATCCCAGGACTGGACAGATTCCCCCCCCCCCAACATTTTTGGAGTTTAACAGAGGAACAGGAGGAATGAGGGGGCGCATAAACCCTGCGACCCGCTCAGAATCACTGATTTCAAAGGTCAAGCCAGCCTTGGGTCCAGCAGCCAGATCAAACCCTGCCCAGCCTGGAATCCTTCTTCCACTCCCAGGAGGGGTGGAAGGAGCCTTCTCTCCCCTAAGGCACAAACAGACACAGTCCCAGAGAGGGCGAGAGCTTCCCCCAAGGTCACCCAGCACTAGAGGAACAGGGTTAGGGTGACAAGCTGGCCAGGCATCCAGGCCTCAGGCCCCCCTAATCCCCGCTTTCTGACGCGGCGGGAAGAAGCAAGAAGGACATGCCCTGGCTAATAGGAGGGTCAAAGTCCCCACTCACAGCGAGGCACAAGGTGTCAGATGGTGGTGGGCAAGGGTGGGGTCCCTCTACACGGTCCCCCCGCAGGAGACAGGAGCCCAGACCTTCTCAGGGACTCCCCCGCTGCCCCCACATCCACCTCCCCGGCAAAAAGAGAAAGGAAGTCGCTAATTGAGTTCGGTCACGAGGAAATCCTGACAATGGAAGGTGGTGACCGGGCTCCAGAAGTAGGCCCCTGACCCACAAGGGTAGGGCCTTGAAAGTTCTGTACTTTCACCTCCCAAGCGCTCACCTGTTGGGGGCCGGCCAGCAGGCCGAACAGCAAAGTGGGTACGAGCCCCGGGACCCAGGTGTCGGACATCCTGGCACGGGGGCCGAGGAGCTTCCGTGTGTAGGGGGAGGAGGGGAGAGGCGGGGCGGCGACCTCTCCCACGTCTGTCCACCTATGGGGCCCCGCCTGGGGATGGGGGCGGAGCTTATGCACCCGCGAAGGGCCGGACTAGGGGCAGGAAGGGGGAGGGGGAGGGGAGGAGAGGGGGAAAAGATCGGGTTTGGGTATTGCGAGTTGGGAGGTAAAAGAAGTTAACCGGTTTAAAAAAAAAAAAAAAAATGGGGTCAGTTCTCAAGCTACTCCTTGCCCGCCCCCGCTCCTCCACTCCTAAGTGGCCCCGGGCTTGAGGGAGGTAGTGCTGGGCTGGGCCGGGAGTGGAAAGGATGCGTGCAGAGCGAGCCTCCCACTTCAAACCCCTTCCCATCTGGGCTTGCGGGGGACAGAGGTTGAGGGAGAGGGAGGCCTGGGAGTGGATTGAAGGCATTGTATGGGGGCGAGGTGTCACCTTTTTTTTTTGGCCAAGAGAGGGAAGGGCGGCTTGGTTGATAACAGGAGCATAACATTAGTACATCTGTGTCCCCCCAGGGTCCCCTGCGATCCTGGGAGGATGTGTTCGTACACTTCCTTTATTTGACTCTAGGGGAAATTGAGGCCCAGGGTTCGGAGACTTGCCCCTGGCTCGGCAGCTGCTGGAAAAGAGGAAGCTAGGCGAGCAGGGGCGCGGCCCAGCAGGCCCATCCGGATTCCTGGAAAGACCCCGCGGAGGCGGTCCGGGCTGGGAAAGCCGGATTCCCACCCTCAGCGGCCGCGCCCCAGCCCTCCAGGCGCGCTGTGCTTCCCGGGTCCCGCCGGCAGGTGGCAGCATCGCCCAACGCCGGATTCCCACGGAGCAGGGCTGCGCTAAGCTGGGACCTGAGTTAGGGTTTCCCTGAGCTCCCGCCCATGGGGAGCTGGCTGGTGGGCGGAGTGGAAGGCCGCCTCGGGGGTCTGCTCTCGAGGGGTGAGAGCCAGATGCCCAAACACGGAGGAGATGTGTGGACCCCGTGCCGGAGCAGAAGAGATGCGGCCCGGACCCCTGGGGAGGGGGCGCAGTAAAGATGGTGGGTGGGGGTGCTGTTCCCAGGCCGGGGGAGACAGGGAAGGGCTCCCGGCAGGAAGAGCTTGTTAGGCATCCCTGCCGCGTCTCAAATCTGACTTTGCCACTGAAAAAGATCCCCAACTTAGTAGGGATGGTCAGGCTTCCTCCTCTAAATGTCTTTTATTTTTCCTTTTTCTCTCACCGCTTTCTCTTTACCTCTGTTCTCATCTCCGTCAGTCTTGTGTAACCTCTCCTTGTCTCTCCCCATTCCTCCCGGTCCATCCTCCTGTTTGTTCTCCCCCATCGCTGTCTCCGCGCTGTTCCTCTCCATCTCTGCGTGTTGGCTTGTTTTCCCATCTCTGTGAATCACTGTCTCCCTTGGAGTCTGTTTCTCTCTCTGTGTGTTTCTGTTTCCTTTGTCTCTGATTTGGTCCTGTGTCTCCCCGACTGTATTTCTCACCGGCTCCCTAGTCTCTCTCTGTCCCTCTTTCCCTGTCTCTGCTTCTCATTATCTGTTGGCCCCTTTTTTTTTGCCCCTAAGGACAGAATCTTCCAGTCTCCTGATCCAAGTGAAATCAGTGTCTGGCCCCACAAAATGGCCTCTATTTCCAGTTCCTGGTGACTCTGAGTTTGGAGAAGGTCATGGCCAGGGGCATCTCTTCCCTCCTACCCATGCAGTTGGCCCTGGCCCCAGCTAGCCCTTCTACCAAGGAGGGGGCCTAATCCATCCAGTCCTGGAACCTTCTTCTAGCAACAACCACACTGCTGTCTCCTTAGTGAGGTTGCTGCTAACCCGGGCTTCCCTCCTGATCCTCCCTCCCTCCTGCCCCTGCCCTGTAGCACCAACACCCCTGGCTGGGATCCCCTGCCACTCTGCCCAAACCTGGAGTCTACAGAGGCATGGCCTTTAGGGGAGAGGAAGATGGATGAGCTCAGGGGAAGAGGCTATCATGGGGAGTGCAATGATGGAGCTGAGAAGGGGATGGAGAAGTTTGAGGGAATGGATGTGGAAGACTGCGAGGACTGAGGAGGTGAAGGGACCAATGCCACGAGCGGCAGGCGGAAGGCAGGAGGCTGGCCTTGCCAGACAAAACACAGGATGCCCAGTTAGATGAGAGTTTAAGATAAACTGAAAAACTTTTTAGTATGAATATACTAAGTATTCCCATGCACTATCTGGAACATACTTACACTAAAATTTATGTGCTGCTTATCTGGAATTTAAATGTGACTAGGTGTCCTGTATTTTTTTTTTTTTTTGTTAAACCCAGCAAGTCTACCCATGTTCCTAAAATGTCATAGGCACAGACATTTGAGAACCCCTGTCCCACACACCCACTCCCCAGTGGGAAAGGGAGGCCTGTGGGGCAGAGTCCAGAGGGCCTCTGGCACCTGCCTCTTGGTCCCCAGTTTTTTTCATGACACCAACCTGCCTTTCTCTGCACCTTCCTGCAGCTAGGGACAGGGTGGGGACCCAGAGGGGGGTGGTCCCAGCTCAGTCAGGCCAAGAACACCAAACCTCACTGTCAACACCCATCATGGCCCCTGGGGCCCCAGCATTCTTGATGGATGAGATCAGAGTGGGGGGACACCACGGGGCCCCAGACGGAGGAGGCAGGGGCTGTTCTTGGCCAGGAGCAGGAAGGTCCTGCACAGGGACATCATCTTCTGTTCGACACCTCATCTGGCCGCAGGCGGGAAATGTGTGTTTGCGTGCACGTTTGTGCTTAGGCACATGGGAGGGGAGGCCCGGAGGCCTCAGGCAGTCAGTGGGTCCCTCTGGATTCCACGCCAAATTCCATCAGGGGTTTCCCAAGAGCGGCAAAGAAGTCAGAGTGTCTTCATTCTTGCTAGCTGCCTCCCGACCCAGTCACCGAAGAACGAGCTGATTGTCTGCAAGCCACAAGGGCCCAGCTGCAAGGGTCCCGGAGGTCAGCTGGCCCACTTGGTCCCTTCTCAGAGAAGCCAACTGGGGCCTGGAGGGGTGGGAAGGCCAAATTACTCAGGAGCCTGGGGTTGAGTCAGGACCCCAACCACGCAGGCCTCAAGACCCCACACCCGCAGGCCACCTCGGAGAAACTGTGGGGTTGCTGCTGTGGTGGGAGGAACTCCTCACGGGGGCTGGGGTGGGAGGTCTTGCCCAGTCCTGAGTGAGGAGGAAGAACCAGGCTGAGTTCTGTGCCTCTCGGCCCCTCCCCTGTACTGTGGTGGACACTGATCCCCATAATGACTCATGGCCAAGGGGCTGGATCTTTCTTTTCAAAGTCTGCAGACCGCTATTCTGCTCCAGCCCAGCTCTGCCTGTAGGGAGGGACGCTATTGTGTGGGTAAGTGTGTCCGTGACTGCATCACGCAGTGTGACCTTAGTCAAGAAACTCACCCTCTCTTTGCACCTTAGACTCTCTGCGGAGGGGAGTTGGCGGGGGGAGCACTAACCCCTTTATCACAGGGGGTCATCGTGAGGATGACACAAACTGCTCAGTGTTGGCATACAGTGATGGTAAATGAATGTTAGCTTAGTCATCACGAGCAATAAATGTTTAACTCTTGGCAGAGGAACGGAGCCCAAAGCTCCTTCTCCCCATTTCATGTGGAGGCCCAGTGAGGTGCCGCTGTGTCCAGTCCCCTGGGCCAGGCATCAGGTGAGTCCGGGCCCCACCCAAGAGCCAGGTGAGAGAGGGCAGGGCCTGGGACCTCCCTCAGAGGTCCTAGTGTTGCTGACCGCCCTTTCTAGAGAGCCATGCGGGACTGGTTGTGGCGGTAGGGCTGGGACCTGAGATTTGAGGAATTCTCTCTGCTCCCCCACTTCTGCTCCTCCACGGCCAGCTGAGCACTACCTGGGTTGGCCTCCTAGTGGAGGCCCACCTCTCCCTCAGGCTGAGAGCCCAGGGGGACTATGCCCGTGCTTGTCACAGGTGTCTCCCCTGTCACCACCTTCATGCGCAGTGACTTCCCCTACCCCTGCCACCAGCCTTTGCAATGGGTGCTCTCCAGCCACCCAGTGGACCCCTGCAAACCCCCTCTTTTCCTTCTTCCCTCTGCGTGGGCAGTTCTCCCCACCTGGGTCCCCAGACCCCTCCCTGAAACCTGAGAATTTCTTACACATTCTTCAAGGCTCAGCTCAAATACCAGCTCCTCCAGAAAGCCTTCCAGGACTCGATCTTCACACCCAGGCCTTCTCTCTGGGCCTCTCTGCTGGCCCTGGGCCATTCTCCCTAGAAGATATGTATACACGTTCTAATGTTCCCACCAGGCTGTGGGGACTGGCCCAGTTCTGATTCACTTCTCATTTCCCCATGATGCTTTGTTCCAAGTAAACACTGGCTCCGTTGTCACTGAATTGAAACTGGTTGGGGGGCCTCCCGAGGTCAGGGGCCAGAATTCTCTGAGGGGATAGGGAATGAATTCCCAAAATCCTTTTGGGAGGGTGCTCTGATTTGGGGGGAAGGGTTGTCCCAGGCTCTCTGGGCTTCTCATCTCCACCGGCTGTGTTTGGGGGGAATCCATGTCTTCTGCTTCCCGCCCCCCTCAAGAGGACACATACCCTCTAAGTGAGTAAGATGGCTCCCTAGGGAAGGAGGAAATCCTATGGGGCGAGGTGCTAGGGATGCTTGGTTCCCTGTCCACCTTCCAGGAGGAGGCTGGATGCGTGCTGGGCTGCCAACAGGAATTCTTGGCCATGGGACCAGGATCTGAGTCTCCTTCCCAGCATTACTTCGGAAACTGAAGCCCACGGGTCTCTCACTCATTCTCGGGGTGATGGGCACAGGGTGGGGAGGTGACTTCTAGAGTTGATCCCCAGTCTGAGCCACCAACCTGCGGGTCAGCAGGGTGAAGGGAGGAGGGCCACCTGACAATGAATGCGCAGGGAGCTTATTATCCTAACCAGCAAGCCGGTGGAGGGGCACCGCTAACACTCACCTTCCCAGAGGCTTAGCAGAGACAAAAAACAACATTTGGGAGCCATTATCCTTCCA